AAAAAAAAAAAAAAAAAAAAATAGAAACAGAGAAGACCTATTCCTGCTTTCTGGGCTTTAAGTTCAACCTTTCAGGAAAGCAGTTTTCCCTTGTATCTCCCAGAGTGATAAGACAGAGAAAGAAGGAAGGGCAACCGTTGAGCGAATAAAGACATCTCAGTTGAGTTCTGCCCACGGATTAAAAGGACAAGGGCACACGCTCTTTGTTGACACTTCTGCAGTGACTTCTCCTTTGGCGTGCGAGCTCCCGGCGCCACACAACTGTCACCGCCACCGCACAGGGCAAGTTGAACTCGTACCGGGAACCGCGTAGGGAGAGAAGCACACACACCTCAACAACAGCCTTTGTCATTTAATTCTTGACACCAGCCGCTCGCCAGCTCAAGCAAACACACATGCTATCCCAACCATCACTCTACCCACCGCCTACACCTTTCATTTATGCCTGGACTTTTTGTCATATCCTGAAAGGAAGCTTTGCGTTTACCCGATGAGTTGCGTCTCCTGGTGCTCCTCAGTTCTTGCAATCTCTTTTGTCTTATAAAAGATCAGGAGCAGACTTATTGTGCAGATCGTCCACCTCTTCCTGATGGAGCGCATCTTGGGTGCCCGGGAAAGTCCCGGTTGCCCCAGCTCCCGCACCGTCTCTTGGTATAAAGGCTCCGTTTTGGGGAGATAGTCGCGGGGGGAAAATCTGTAAAATGCTAGGAGAGCGTGGAGCCGGGATCCCGGGATCAGGTCGCTAGGGTCCTCTGCGGCCGAGCTCCCCTCGCTCCTCGAGCGCTGCCCACTGCCCTCACGCCCGGTTCGCGCCAGCTCTTCCCGGGTCGCCCCGCGCCGCCTCCCTGGGGCTCAGGTTTCTTTTCAGATGAGATACCTTGAACGTTGGAGGTGGCGGCCGCTTCTGCAGCTGGGTTCGGGGGCGTCGCTGGCCCTTCCCTCTCGCTAGCAGGGAAACGATGAGAGAAGCCAACCAATCACCGGGCTGAGGGGGCGGAGGCTGCTGTTGCCTCGCGTTGTTGGCGGCTGCTTGGGAGAGTAACGTCCCCGGCTCCGCCGGCGCTGCGCCGGGAGCGGAAGCCCGTGGGGTGCGCGCTCGAGCTCGTGCGCGCACGCACACGCACACACACACACACACACACACACACACACACACACACACACTCTCTCTCTCTCTCTCTCTCTCTCTCTCTCTCTCTCTCTCTCCTGGGACACCAAGGCGTCAGCTCTCTGGACCTGGGAGCACTGAGATAGTGAGTCCGCATCACGGTGGAGAGGGCACCGCTACCTGGGACAGATCAGAGGACGCGTCCCGCCCGAGGATTGCTCCGAATGAAGCTGCGGGTGGGTGGCAAGAGGAGGTTGGCTTCTTCCAAGAGCCTTTGCTAAATATACACATGCTTGCACGCAAAAGCACGACCTTCGAGGTGTACTGAAACCGGGAGGGAGAAGGAAGGAAGAGGCGCTTATTATTCCGTGCAGTCTGCACAGGGCGCATTAGCGGATCGCCCCCTCAGACGACCCTGGCTCAGGATCCCAAAGGAAACAAGTGATGACAGAAGTGTCATTAGGAACTTTATGGATATTTATTTGATATTTATATGCCTCCTTTTCATTGTCATTTGGAAACTCCTCACGCAGAAGTCAAGGAAACTCCAGTCCCACTTAAACTTCACTGCAGAGGAACAGGATTCAGAGAAAAAATAAAACACTACCATGGGTTTCCCTTAAACGCAAGTACACCCACGTACAAATTCGGACGCCCAGGAAGAACGGAAAGAAAGGAAGGAAAAGAAGAAAAGGAGGAAGGAAGGAAGGACAGGATGGAGGGAGGGAAGGAGGAAGGAAGGAAGGAAGGAAAATCCTCTCCAAAAGTCTCATTGAGACGTGTTTAGCCTCCGATTTTCACCTTCTCTCTCCTACCATTTTTTCGTACTTCTCTGGCAGGGCCCTTTTCCGGTTCTGTGTTCAGCCTTTAGACTGAGTCCCTCTATACGATCCTTTGATTCTCGCCCTTCCTAGGAGAGACGCTTGCTACTCCAGTCATACCTAGCCTTGCGTCTGCTCTTCGCTCTGGCCTGGCGGGTCGCAAAGCACCTCTGGTGTGATGCGGTGCCTGGAAGTCAGGATCCCCCCACCTATGCCTACTCCATGCTTCCCCATCTTCCCAGAGTCTGTCTCAAATTGAATTCCCTGTTCCTTCAGGTTGAACCGTGGCTCCAGCGGTCTCCCACACTCGGCTGTGCTGGGATTTAAACTTCCCCAAGCTGGGAAATGGCTAGGCCACTCCAATCCTCCACCTGCGGGAGAGGGTGGGGAAGAAATCCTGAGTTACTTGGCCCCTGACAGTTTAAAATAACAAAGACGACAGCCAAAACTTTTGCTTGAAAACCCGAGGTTTCCGCCCATGCCTGCCATTCTTCCCCTAGAGTTTAGGAAGTTAACAACCTCTGAAATCTTGAGCTTAGTCTTCGCAGCAAAGAGAACGGGGTTGGGTCTAAAATGCTCCAAGGAGCAAGTAATTATGAGCCTTTATTGACACTACAAGTGGCCCGCAGGGAGCCTTTGGAGTTTATTGATGTCTGGGCAAATCCTGCTTGCCTTAGTGCATTTCTATCACACTGACTTCTCAACTAGCAGAAACTGCCAGAATAAAACAGCTTCATATTTAAGTAAAAAGGGAACTCAGAAGTGTGTGTGTGGGGTGGGGTGGGGGG